ATGGAGGAGGCAGGGCCCAGACACCGCATGGGACAGAGTCCCCGCAGCGCACGGGCCACACGGGGAGGATGCCAGAGCAGAGAGGGGCGCGGCAGGACTGAGAGAGGGCAGCAAAAGGGGGGACAGTGACGTGGGGGGCGGGGAGGAGAAGAGGAAAATGCTAGGGTTGAAAATGCCCTCGTTTGGATGGTCCCCTGAGGAGGCGAAGCCCAGGGCAGGAACACGGGGACAGGAAACAGACAGAGAGACCCAGAGACACAGACACTTCACGGCTGTCAATTTGCAGATGGACCCAGAGGACGCCGATGGGAAGGAGAGAGGAGCCCAGAAACACCCAGCAAGGAGGACAGCGGAGAGGGACCGGGGGGCCAAGCCGGAGGGCAGCCTCGGCCTCGGGGACAAGGAGGTGGTCGCCCACGACAGCAAGTTCAAGATGCCCAAGTTCAGGATGCCTTCCTTCTGCACGTCAGGGGCAGCCATGGAGGCCTCAGGGGACCTGTCCCTGCCAAAGGCTGAGGCAGACGTGTCCCTGCCCTCCATCCAGATGGACGTCAAGGCCAGTGACCTCAGTATGGAGCTCCCATCGGCCGACGTGGACATCAAGACAGGCGAGCTGGGAGTGAAGCTCCCGGAGGGCCACCTGCCCGAGGGAGAGCTCGAGGGACCCTCCTCCGGAATGGGGTTCAAAGGGCACCTGCCCAAGGTGCACATGCCCAGCATGAAGATGCCCAAAGCAGACTTCAAGGGCCCCCAGGTGGACATCAAGGGGCCCAAAGTGGACCTGAAGGGCGCCAAAGGGGAGGTGTCGGCCCCTGACATGGAGGTGTCAGTGCCCAGCATGGAGGCGAACATCCAGGCACCAGGCCCAATGGCGGAGGGAGACGTTGTCCTGAGGGACAAGGAGGTGGACACCTGGGATGGGAAGTTCAAGATACCCATGTTCAAGATGCCGTCCTTCGGAGTATCGAGGCCAGAGATAAATTGGGGGACATCTGTGGACATGCCCGAGACCGAGTCGACAGGGGAGGCGAGACTTCCTTCCCTGGAAGGTGAGATGCGAGTCCCAGAGGGTAGCATCCACTTGCCATCTGCTGACCTCGAGCTCCCTGGGGGAGAGTGGGAGGTGGCCGTCCCCAAGGGAGAGGTGACCAAGGGAGAGCTGAAGGGCAAAGCAGAAGGAGCCAGATTCAAAGGCCACTTGTCCAAGGTGCAGATGCCCAGCATCCAGGTACCCAAGGTGGACATAAAGGGTCCCCCAGTGGACATTAAGGGGCCCCAGGTGGACATCAAGGGGCCCAAACTGGACCTGAATGACACCAAAGGGGAGGTGACTGTACCCAATATGGAGGTGTCACTGCCCAGCATAGAGGACATTCAGGCACCAGGGCTCAAACTTGAGGGTGAAGTCATCGTGGGGGATAAGGAAGTGGCCGCCAAGGACAGCAAATTCAAGATGCCCAAGTTCAAGATGCCTTCCTTCGGGATGTCTGGGCCAGGCAAGTCCATGGAGGCCTCAGTGGACGTGTCCCTGCCAAAGGCTGAGGCAGGCGTGTCCCTGCCCTCCATCCAGACTGACGTCCAGGCCAGTGACCTCAGTATCGAGCTGCCTTCTGCCGACGTGGACATCAAGACAGGCGAGCTGGGAGTGAAGCTCCCCAGAATGCCATCGGCTGAACTCGAGCTCCCGGAGGGAGAGATGGAGGTGGCCCTACCTGAGGGACAGGTGAGCCTGGGAGAGATGAAGGGCAAAGCAGAAGGAGCCAGCTACAAGGGCCACATGCCCAAGATGCAGATGCCCAGCATGAAGATGCCCAAAGTAGACTTCCATGGTACCCAGATGGACATCAAGGGGCCTAAACTGGACCCGAAGAGCGCCAAAGCAGACATGACAGTCGCCGACATGGAGGTGTCACTTCCCAGTGTGGAGGTGGGCATGCAGAGAAAAGGGGTCCAGCTGCAAGGTGACATTGTCCGAGGGGGAAAGCAGGTGGCCAGCAAAGACAGCAAGTTCAAGATGCCCAAGTTCAAGATGCCTTCCTTCGGGATGTCTGGGCCAGGCAAGTCCATGGAGGCCTCAGTGGACGTGTCCCTGCCAAAGGCTAAGACTGACATCAAGACCAGTGACCTCAGCATTGACCTGCCATCTGCCGACGTGGACGTGAAGACAGGAGAGCTGGGAGTGAAGCTCCCGGAGGGCCACCTGCCCGAGGGAGAGCTCCAGGAGCCCTCCTCCGGAGTTGGACTCAAAGGGCACCTGCCCAAGGTGCACATGCCCAGCATGAAGATGCCCAAAGTAGACTTCAAGGGCCCGCAGGTGGACATCAAGGGGCCCAAAGTGGACCTGAAGGGCGCCAAAGGGGAGGTGACCGTCCCCGAGGGAGAGGTGAAGCTTGGAGAACTGAAGGGCAAAGCAGAAGGGGCCACGTTCAAGGGCCACATGCCCAAGGTGCAGATGCCCAGCATGAAGATGCCCAAAGTAGACTTCAAGGGCCCGCAGGTGGACATCAAGGGGCCCAAAGTGGACCTGAAGGGCGCCAAAGGGGAGGTGACCGTCCCCGAGGGAGAGGTGAAGCTTGGAGAACTGAAGGGCAAAGCAGAAGGGGCCACGTTCAAGGGCCACATGCCCAAGGTGCAGATGCCCAGCATGAAGATGCCCAAAGTAGACTTCAAGGGCCCGCAGGTGGACATCAAGGGGCCCAAAGTGGACCTGAAGGGCGCCAAAGGGGAGGTGACCGTCCCCGAGGGAGAGGTGAAGCTTGGAGAACTGAAGGGCAAAGCAGAAGGGGCCACGTTCAAGGGCCACATGCCCAAGGTGCAGATGCCCAGCATGAAGATGCCCAAAGTAGACTTCAAGGGCCCGCAGGTGGACATCAAGGGGCCCAAAGTGGACCTGAAGGGCGCCAAAGGGGAGGTGACCGTCCCCGAGGGAGAGGTGAAGCTTGGAGAACTGAAGGGCAAAGCAGAAGGGGCCACGTTCAAGGGCCACATGCCCAAGGTGCAGATGCCCAGCATGAAGATGCCCAAAGTAGACTTCAAGGGCCCGCAGGTGGACATCAAGGGGCCCAAAGTGGACCTGAAGGGCGCCAAAGGGGAGGTGACCGTCCCCGAGGGAGAGGTGAAGCTTGGAGAACTGAAGGGCAAAGCAGAAGGGGCCACGTTCAAGGGCCACATGCCCAAGGTGCAGATGCCCAGCATGAAGATGCCCAAAGTAGACTTCAAGGGCCCGCAGGTGGACATCAAGGGGCCCAAAGTGGACCTGAAGGGCGCCAAAGGGGAGGTGACCGTCCCCGAGGGAGAGGTGAAGCTTGGAGAACTGAAGGGCAAAGCAGAAGGGGCCACGTTCAAGGGCCACATGCCCAAGGTGCAGATGCCCAGCATGAAGATGCCCAAAGTAGACTTCAAGGGCCCGCAGGTGGACATCAAGGGGCCCAAAGTGGACCTGAAGGGCGCCAAAGGGGAGGTGACCGTCCCCGAGGGAGAGGTGAAGCTTGGAGAACTGAAGGGCAAAGCAGAAGGGGCCACGTTCAAGGGCCACATGCCCAAGGTGCAGATGCCCAGCATGAAGATGCCCAAAGTAGACTTCAAGGGCCCGCAGGTGGACATCAAGGGGCCCAAAGTGGACCTGAAGGGCGCCAAAGGGGAGGTGACCGTCCCCGAGGGAGAGGTGAAGCTTGGAGAACTGAAGGGCAAAGCAGAAGGGGCCACGTTCAAGGGCCACATGCCCAAGGTGCAGATGCCCAGCATGAAGATGCCCAAAGTAGACTTCAAGGGCCCGCAGGTGGACATCAAGGGGCCCAAAGTGGACCTGAAGGGCGCCAAAGGGGAGGTGACCGTCCCCGAGGGAGAGGTGAAGCTTGGAGAACTGAAGGGCAAAGCAGAAGGGGCCACGTTCAAGGGCCACATGCCCAAGGTGCAGATGCCCAGCATGAAGATGCCCAAAGTAGACTTCAAGGGCCCGCAGGTGGACATCAAGGGGCCCAAAGTGGACCTGAAGGGCGCCAAAGGGGAGGTGACCGTCCCCGAGGGAGAGGTGAAGCTTGGAGAACTGAAGGGCAAAGCAGAAGGGGCCACGTTCAAGGGCCACATGCCCAAGGTGCAGATGCCCAGCATGAAGATGCCCAAAGTAGACTTCAAGGGCCCGCAGGTGGACATCAAGGGGCCCAAAGTGGACCTGAAGGGCGCCAAAGGGGAGGTGACCGTCCCCGAGGGAGAGGTGAAGCTTGGAGAACTGAAGGGCAAAGCAGAAGGGGCCACGTTCAAGGGCCACATGCCCAAGGTGCAGATGCCCAGCATGAAGATGCCCAAAGTAGACTTCAAGGGCCCGCAGGTGGACATCAAGGGGCCCAAAGTGGACCTGAAGGGCGCCAAAGGGGAGGTGACCGTCCCCGAGGGAGAGGTGAAGCTTGGAGAACTGAAGGGCAAAGCAGAAGGGGCCACGTTCAAGGGCCACATGCCCAAGGTGCAGATGCCCAGCATGAAGATGCCCAAAGTAGACTTCAAGGGCCCGCAGGTGGACATCAAGGGGCCCAAAGTGGACCTGAAGGGCGCCAAAGGGGAGGTGACCGTCCCCGAGGGAGAGGTGAAGCTTGGAGAACTGAAGGGCAAAGCAGAAGGGGCCACGTTCAAGGGCCACATGCCCAAGGTGCAGATGCCCAGCATGAAGATGCCCAAAGTAGACTTCAAGGGCCCGCAGGTGGACATCAAGGGGCCCAAAGTGGACCTGAAGGGCGCCAAAGGGGAGGTGACCGTCCCCGAGGGAGAGGTGAAGCTTGGAGAACTGAAGGGCAAAGCAGAAGGGGCCACGTTCAAGGGCCACATGCCCAAGGTGCAGATGCCCAGCATGAAGATGCCCAAAGTAGACTTCAAGGGCCCGCAGGTGGACATCAAGGGGCCCAAAGTGGACCTGAAGGGCGCCAAAGGGGAGGTGACCGTCCCCGAGGGAGAGGTGAAGCTTGGAGAACTGAAGGGCAAAGCAGAAGGGGCCACGTTCAAGGGCCACATGCCCAAGGTGCAGATGCCCAGCATGAAGATGCCCAAAGTAGACTTCAAGGGCCCGCAGGTGGACATCAAGGGGCCCAAAGTGGACCTGAAGGGCGCCAAAGGGGAGGTGACCGTCCCCGAGGGAGAGGTGAAGCTTGGAGAACTGAAGGGCAAAGCAGAAGGGGCCACGTTCAAGGGCCACATGCCCAAGGTGCAGATGCCCAGCATGAAGATGCCCAAAGTAGACTTCAAGGGCCCGCAGGTGGACATCAAGGGGCCCAAAGTGGACCTGAAGGGCGCCAAAGGGGAGGTGACCGTCCCCGAGGGAGAGGTGAAGCTTGGAGAACTGAAGGGCAAAGCAGAAGGGGCCACGTTCAAGGGCCACATGCCCAAGGTGCAGATGCCCAGCATGAAGATGCCCAAAGTAGACTTCAAGGGCCCGCAGGTGGACATCAAGGGGCCCAAAGTGGACCTGAAGGGCGCCAAAGGGGAGGTGACCGTCCCCGAGGGAGAGGTGAAGCTTGGAGAACTGAAGGGCAAAGCAGAAGGGGCCACGTTCAAGGGCCACATGCCCAAGGTGCAGATGCCCAGCATGAAGATGCCCAAAGTAGACTTCAAGGGCCCGCAGGTGGACATCAAGGGGCCCAAAGTGGACCTGAAGGGCGCCAAAGGGGAGGTGACCGTCCCCGAGGGAGAGGTGAAGCTTGGAGAACTGAAGGGCAAAGCAGAAGGGGCCACGTTCAAGGGCCACATGCCCAAGGTGCAGATGCCCAGCATGAAGATGCCCAAAGTAGACTTCAAGGGCCCGCAGGTGGACATCAAGGGGCCCAAAGTGGACCTGAAGGGCGCCAAAGGGGAGGTGACCGTCCCCGAGGGAGAGGTGAAGCTTGGAGAACTGAAGGGCAAAGCAGAAGGGGCCACGTTCAAGGGCCACATGCCCAAGGTGCAGATGCCCAGCATGAAGATGCCCAAAGTAGACTTCAAGGGCCCGCAGGTGGACATCAAGGGGCCCAAAGTGGACCTGAAGGGCGCCAAAGGGGAGGTGACCGTCCCCGAGGGAGAGGTGAAGCTTGGAGAACTGAAGGGCAAAGCAGAAGGGGCCACGTTCAAGGGCCACATGCCCAAGGTGCAGATGCCCAGCATGAAGATGCCCAAAGTAGACTTCAAGGGCCCGCAGGTGGACATCAAGGGGCCCAAAGTGGACCTGAAGGGCGCCAAAGGGGAGGTGACCGTCCCCGAGGGAGAGGTGAAGCTTGGAGAACTGAAGGGCAAAGCAGAAGGGGCCACGTTCAAGGGCCACATGCCCAAGGTGCAGATGCCCAGCATGAAGATGCCCAAAGTAGACTTCAAGGGCCCGCAGGTGGACATCAAGGGGCCCAAAGTGGACCTGAAGGGCGCCAAAGGGGAGGTGACCGTCCCCGAGGGAGAGGTGAAGCTTGGAGAACTGAAGGGCAAAGCAGAAGGGGCCACGTTCAAGGGCCACATGCCCAAGGTGCAGATGCCCAGCATGAAGATGCCCAAAGTAGACTTCAAGGGCCCGCAGGTGGACATCAAGGGGCCCAAAGTGGACCTGAAGGGCGCCAAAGGGGAGGTGACCGTCCCCGAGGGAGAGGTGAAGCTTGGAGAACTGAAGGGCAAAGCAGAAGGGGCCACGTTCAAGGGCCACATGCCCAAGGTGCAGATGCCCAGCATGAAGATGCCCAAAGTAGACTTCAAGGGCCCGCAGGTGGACATCAAGGGGCCCAAAGTGGACCTGAAGGGCGCCAAAGGGGAGGTGACCGTCCCCGAGGGAGAGGTGAAGCTTGGAGAACTGAAGGGCAAAGCAGAAGGGGCCACGTTCAAGGGCCACATGCCCAAGGTGCAGATGCCCAGCATGAAGATGCCCAAAGTAGACTTCAAGGGCCCGCAGGTGGACATCAAGGGGCCCAAAGTGGACCTGAAGGGCGCCAAAGGGGAGGTGACCGTCCCCGAGGGAGAGGTGAAGCTTGGAGAACTGAAGGGCAAAGCAGAAGGGGCCACGTTCAAGGGCCACATGCCCAAGGTGCAGATGCCCAGCATGAAGATGCCCAAAGTAGACTTCAAGGGCCCGCAGGTGGACATCAAGGGGCCCAAAGTGGACCTGAAGGGCGCCAAAGGGGAGGTGACCGTCCCCGAGGGAGAGGTGAAGCTTGGAGAACTGAAGGGCAAAGCAGAAGGGGCCACGTTCAAGGGCCACATGCCCAAGGTGCAGATGCCCAGCATGAAGATGCCCAAAGTAGACTTCAAGGGCCCGCAGGTGGACATCAAGGGGCCCAAAGTGGACCTGAAGGGCGCCAAAGGGGAGGTGACCGTCCCCGAGGGAGAGGTGAAGCTTGGAGAACTGAAGGGCAAAGCAGAAGGGGCCACGTTCAAGGGCCACATGCCCAAGGTGCAGATGCCCAGCATGAAGATGCCCAAAGTAGACTTCAAGGGCCCGCAGGTGGACATCAAGGGGCCCAAAGTGGACCTGAAGGGCGCCAAAGGGGAGGTGACCGTCCCCGAGGGAGAGGTGAAGCTTGGAGAACTGAAGGGCAAAGCAGAAGGGGCCACGTTCAAGGGCCACATGCCCAAGGTGCAGATGCCCAGCATGAAGATGCCCAAAGTAGACTTCAAGGGCCCGCAGGTGGACATCAAGGGGCCCAAAGTGGACCTGAAGGGCGCCAAAGGGGAGGTGACCGTCCCCGAGGGAGAGGTGAAGCTTGGAGAACTGAAGGGCAAAGCAGAAGGGGCCACGTTCAAGGGCCACATGCCCAAGGTGCAGATGCCCAGCATGAAGATGCCCAAAGTAGACTTCAAGGGCCCGCAGGTGGACATCAAGGGGCCCAAAGTGGACCTGAAGGGCGCCAAAGGGGAGGTGACCGTCCCCGAGGGAGAGGTGAAGCTTGGAGAACTGAAGGGCAAAGCAGAAGGGGCCACGTTCAAGGGCCACATGCCCAAGGTGCAGATGCCCAGCATGAAGATGCCCAAAGTAGACTTCAAGGGCCCGCAGGTGGACATCAAGGGGCCCAAAGTGGACCTGAAGGGCGCCAAAGGGGAGGTGACCGTCCCCGAGGGAGAGGTGAAGCTTGGAGAACTGAAGGGCAAAGCAGAAGGGGCCACGTTCAAGGGCCACATGCCCAAGGTGCAGATGCCCAGCATGAAGATGCCCAAAGTAGACTTCAAGGGCCCGCAGGTGGACATCAAGGGGCCCAAAGTGGACCTGAAGGGCGCCAAAGGGGAGGTGACCGTCCCCGAGGGAGAGGTGAAGCTTGGAGAACTGAAGGGCAAAGCAGAAGGGGCCACGTTCAAGGGCCACATGCCCAAGGTGCAGATGCCCAGCATGAAGATGCCCAAAGTAGACTTCAAGGGCCCGCAGGTGGACATCAAGGGGCCCAAAGTGGACCTGAAGGGCGCCAAAGGGGAGGTGACCGTCCCCGAGGGAGAGGTGAAGCTTGGAGAACTGAAGGGCAAAGCAGAAGGGGCCACGTTCAAGGGCCACATGCCCAAGGTGCAGATGCCCAGCATGAAGATGCCCAAAGTAGACTTCAAGGGCCCGCAGGTGGACATCAAGGGGCCCAAAGTGGACCTGAAGGGCGCCAAAGGGGAGGTGACCGTCCCCGAGGGAGAGGTGAAGCTTGGAGAACTGAAGGGCAAAGCAGAAGGGGCCACGTTCAAGGGCCACATGCCCAAGGTGCAGATGCCCAGCATGAAGATGCCCAAAGTAGACTTCAAGGGCCCGCAGGTGGACATCAAGGGGCCCAAAGTGGACCTGAAGGGCGCCAAAGGGGAGGTGACCGTCCCCGAGGGAGAGGTGAAGCTTGGAGAACTGAAGGGCAAAGCAGAAGGGGCCACGTTCAAGGGCCACATGCCCAAGGTGCAGATGCCCAGCATGAAGATGCCCAAAGTAGACTTCAAGGGCCCGCAGGTGGACATCAAGGGGCCCAAAGTGGACCTGAAGGGCGCCAAAGGGGAGGTGACCGTCCCCGAGGGAGAGGTGAAGCTTGGAGAACTGAAGGGCAAAGCAGAAGGGGCCACGTTCAAGGGCCACATGCCCAAGGTGCAGATGCCCAGCATGAAGATGCCCAAAGTAGACTTCAAGGGCCCGCAGGTGGACATCAAGGGGCCCAAAGTGGACCTGAAGGGCGCCAAAGGGGAGGTGACCGTCCCCGAGGGAGAGGTGAAGCTTGGAGAACTGAAGGGCAAAGCAGAAGGGGCCACGTTCAAGGGCCACATGCCCAAGGTGCAGATGCCCAGCATGAAGATGCCCAAAGTAGACTTCAAGGGCCCGCAGGTGGACATCAAGGGGCCCAAAGTGGACCTGAAGGGCGCCAAAGGGGAGGTGACCGTCCCCGAGGGAGAGGTGAAGCTTGGAGAACTGAAGGGCAAAGCAGAAGGGGCCACGTTCAAGGGCCACATGCCCAAGGTGCAGATGCCCAGCATGAAGATGCCCAAAGTAGACTTCAAGGGCCCGCAGGTGGACATCAAGGGGCCCAAAGTGGACCTGAAGGGCGCCAAAGGGGAGGTGACCGTCCCCGAGGGAGAGGTGAAGCTTGGAGAACTGAAGGGCAAAGCAGAAGGGGCCACGTTCAAGGGCCACATGCCCAAGGTGCAGATGCCCAGCATGAAGATGCCCAAAGTAGACTTCAAGGGCCCGCAGGTGGACATCAAGGGGCCCAAAGTGGACCTGAAGGGCGCCAAAGGGGAGGTGACCGTCCCCGAGGGAGAGGTGAAGCTTGGAGAACTGAAGGGCAAAGCAGAAGGGGCCACGTTCAAGGGCCACATGCCCAAGGTGCAGATGCCCAGCATGAAGATGCCCAAAGTAGACTTCAAGGGCCCGCAGGTGGACATCAAGGGGCCCAAAGTGGACCTGAAGGGCGCCAAAGGGGAGGTGACCGTCCCCGAGGGAGAGGTGAAGCTTGGAGAACTGAAGGGCAAAGCAGAAGGGGCCACGTTCAAGGGCCACATGCCCAAGGTGCAGATGCCCAGCATGAAGATGCCCAAAGTAGACTTCAAGGGCCCGCAGGTGGACATCAAGGGGCCCAAAGTGGACCTGAAGGGCGCCAAAGGGGAGGTGACCGTCCCCGAGGGAGAGGTGAAGCTTGGAGAACTGAAGGGCAAAGCAGAAGGGGCCACGTTCAAGGGCCACATGCCCAAGGTGCAGATGCCCAGCATGAAGATGCCCAAAGTAGACTTCAAGGGCCCGCAGGTGGACATCAAGGGGCCCAAAGTGGACCTGAAGGGCGCCAAAGGGGAGGTGACCGTCCCCGAGGGAGAGGTGAAGCTTGGAGAACTGAAGGGCAAAGCAGAAGGGGCCACGTTCAAGGGCCACATGCCCAAGGTGCAGATGCCCAGCATGAAGATGCCCAAAGTAGACTTCAAGGGCCCGCAGGTGGACATCAAGGGGCCCAAAGTGGACCTGAAGGGCGCCAAAGGGGAGGTGACCGTCCCCGAGGGAGAGGTGAAGCTTGGAGAACTGAAGGGCAAAGCAGAAGGGGCCACGTTCAAGGGCCACATGCCCAAGGTGCAGATGCCCAGCATGAAGATGCCCAAAGTAGACTTCAAGGGCCCGCAGGTGGACATCAAGGGGCCCAAAGTGGACCTGAAGGGCGCCAAAGGGGAGGTGACCGTCCCCGAGGGAGAGGTGAAGCTTGGAGAACTGAAGGGCAAAGCAGAAGGGGCCACGTTCAAGGGCCACATGCCCAAGGTGCAGATGCCCAGCATGAAGATGCCCAAAGTAGACTTCAAGGGCCCGCAGGTGGACATCAAGGGGCCCAAAGTGGACCTGAAGGGCGCCAAAGGGGAGGTGACCGTCCCCGAGGGAGAGGTGAAGCTTGGAGAACTGAAGGGCAAAGCAGAAGGGGCCACGTTCAAGGGCCACATGCCCAAGGTGCAGATGCCCAGCATGAAGATGCCCAAAGTAGACTTCAAGGGCCCGCAGGTGGACATCAAGGGGCCCAAAGTGGACCTGAAGGGCGCCAAAGGGGAGGTGACCGTCCCCGAGGGAGAGGTGAAGCTTGGAGAACTGAAGGGCAAAGCAGAAGGGGCCACGTTCAAGGGCCACATGCCCAAGGTGCAGATGCCCAGCATGAAGATGCCCAAAGTAGACTTCAAGGGCCCGCAGGTGGACATCAAGGGGCCCAAAGTGGACCTGAAGGGCGCCAAAGGGGAGGTGACCGTCCCCGAGGGAGAGGTGAAGCTTGGAGAACTGAAGGGCAAAGCAGAAGGGGCCACGTTCAAGGGCCACATGCCCAAGGTGCAGATGCCCAGCATGAAGATGCCCAAAGTAGACTTCAAGGGCCCGCAGGTGGACATCAAGGGGCCCAAAGTGGACCTGAAGGGCGCCAAAGGGGAGGTGACCGTCCCCGAGGGAGAGGTGAAGCTTGGAGAACTGAAGGGCAAAGCAGAAGGGGCCACGTTCAAGGGCCACATGCCCAAGGTGCAGATGCCCAGCATGAAGATGCCCAAAGTAGACTTCAAGGGCCCGCAGGTGGACATCAAGGGGCCCAAAGTGGACCTGAAGGGCGCCAAAGGGGAGGTGACCGTCCCCGAGGGAGAGGTGAAGCTTGGAGAACTGAAGGGCAAAGCAGAAGGGGCCACGTTCAAGGGCCACATGCCCAAGGTGCAGATGCCCAGCATGAAGATGCCCAAAGTAGACTTCAAGGGCCCGCAGGTGGACATCAAGGGGCCCAAAGTGGACCTGAAGGGCGCCAAAGGGGAGGTGACCGTCCCCGAGGGAGAGGTGAAGCTTGGAGAACTGAAGGGCAAAGCAGAAGGGGCCACGTTCAAGGGCCACATGCCCAAGGTGCAGATGCCCAGCATGAAGATGCCCAAAGTAGACTTCAAGGGCCCGCAGGTGGACATCAAGGGGCCCAAAGTGGACCTGAAGGGCGCCAAAGGGGAGGTGACCGTCCCCGAGGGAGAGGTGAAGCTTGGAGAACTGAAGGGCAAAGCAGAAGGGGCCACGTTCAAGGGCCACATGCCCAAGGTGCAGATGCCCAGCATGAAGATGCCCAAAGTAGACTTCAAGGGCCCGCAGGTGGACATCAAGGGGCCCAAAGTGGACCTGAAGGGCGCCAAAGGGGAGGTGACCGTCCCCGAGGGAGAGGTGAAGCTTGGAGAACTGAAGGGCAAAGCAGAAGGGGCCACGTTCAAGGGCCACATGCCCAAGGTGCAGATGCCCAGCATGAAGATGCCCAAAGTAGACTTCAAGGGCCCGCAGGTGGACATCAAGGGGCCCAAAGTGGACCTGAAGGGCGCCAAAGGGGAGGTGACCGTCCCCGAGGGAGAGGTGAAGCTTGGAGAACTGAAGGGCAAAGCAGAAGGGGCCACGTTCAAGGGCCACATGCCCAAGGTGCAGATGCCCAGCATGAAGATGCCCAAAGTAGACTTCAAGGGCCCGCAGGTGGACATCAAGGGGCCCAAAGTGGACCTGAAGGGCGCCAAAGGGGAGGTGACCGTCCCCGAGGGAGAGGTGAAGCTTGGAGAACTGAAGGGCAAAGCAGAAGGGGCCACGTTCAAGGGCCACATGCCCAAGGTGCAGATGCCCAGCATGAAGATGCCCAAAGTAGACTTCAAGGGCCCGCAGGTGGACATCAAGGGGCCCAAAGTGGACCTGAAGGGCGCCAAAGGGGAGGTGACCGTCCCCGAGGGAGAGGTGAAGCTTGGAGAACTGAAGGGCAAAGCAGAAGGGGCCACGTTCAAGGGCCACATGCCCAAGGTGCAGATGCCCAGCATGAAGATGCCCAAAGTAGACTTCAAGGGCCCGCAGGTGGACATCAAGGGGCCCAAAGTGGACCTGAAGGGCGCCAAAGGGGAGGTGACCGTCCCCGAGGGAGAGGTGAAGCTTGGAGAACTGAAGGGCAAAGCAGAAGGGGCCACGTTCAAGGGCCACATGCCCAAGGTGCAGATGCCCAGCATGAAGATGCCCAAAGTAGACTTCAAGGGCCCGCAGGTGGACATCAAGGGGCCCAAAGTGGACCTGAAGGGCGCCAAAGGGGAGGTGACCGTCCCCGAGGGAGAGGTGAAGCTTGGAGAACTGAAGGGCAAAGCAGAAGGGGCCACGTTCAAGGGCCACATGCCCAAGGTGCAGATGCCCAGCATGAAGATGCCCAAAGTAGACTTCAAGGGCCCGCAGGTGGACATCAAGGGGCCCAAAGTGGACCTGAAGGGCGCCAAAGGGGAGGTGACCGTCCCCGAGGGAGAGGTGAAGCTTGGAGAACTGAAGGGCAAAGCAGAAGGGGCCACGTTCAAGGGCCACATGCCCAAGGTGCAGATGCCCAGCATGAAGATGCCCAAAGTAGACTTCAAGGGCCCGCAGGTGGACATCAAGGGGCCCAAAGTGGACCTGAAGGGCGCCAAAGGGGAGGTGACCGTCCCCGAGGGAGAGGTGAAGCTTGGAGAACTGAAGGGCAAAGCAGAAGGGGCCACGTTCAAGGGCCACATGCCCAAGGTGCAGATGCCCAGCATGAAGATGCCCAAAGTAGACTTCAAGGGCCCGCAGGTGGACATCAAGGGGCCCAAAGTGGACCTGAAGGGCGCCAAAGGGGAGGTGACCGTCCCCGAGGGAGAGGTGAAGCTTGGAGAACTGAAGGGCAAAGCAGAAGGGGCCACGTTCAAGGGCCACATGCCCAAGGTGCAGATGCCCAGCATGAAGATGCCCAAAGTAGACTTCAAGGGCCCGCAGGTGGACATCAAGGGGCCCAAAGTGGACCTGAAGGGCGCCAAAGGGGAGGTGACCGTCCCCGAGGGAGAGGTGAAGCTTGGAGAACTGAAGGGCAAAGCAGAAGGGGCCACGTTCAAGGGCCACATGCCCAAGGTGCAGATGCCCAGCATGAAGATGCCCAAAGTAGACTTCAAGGGCCCGCAGGTGGACATCAAGGGGCCCAAAGTGGACCTGAAGGGCGCCAAAGGGGAGGTGACCGTCCCCGAGGGAGAGGTGAAGCTTGGAGAACTGAAGGGCAAAGCAGAAGGGGCCACGTTCAAGGGCCACATGCCCAAGGTGCAGATGCCCAGCATGAAGATGCCCAAAGTAGACTTCAAGGGCCCGCAGGTGGACATCAAGGCCTCAGTGGACGTGTCCCTGCCAAAGGCTGAGGCAGGCGTGTCCCTGCCCTCCATCCAGACTGACGTCCAGGCCAGTGACCTCAGTATCGAGCTGCCTTCTGCCGACGTGGATGTGAAGACAGGCGAGCTGGGAGTGAAGCTCCTGGAGGGCCACCTGCCCGAGGGAGAGCTCCTTGGATCGGCCTCCACAGTTGGAAGCAAATGGCACCTGCCCAAGGTGCACATGCCCAGCATGAAGATGCCCAAAGTAGACTTCAAGGGCCCGCAGGTGGACATCCAGGGGCCCAAGCTCGATCTGAAGTGCTCCAAAGGGGAGGTCACTGCCCCTGACTTGGAGGTGTCCGTGCCCAGTGTGGAGGCTGACATCCAGGCTGCTGGCTCCAAGCTGGAGGGAGACATTGTCCTCGGGGATAAGGCAGTGGCTACCAAAGACAGCAAGTTCAAGATGCCCAAGTTCAAGATGCCTTCCTTCGGTGCATCTCCACCAAGCAAGGATTGGGGAACATCAGTGGACGTGTCCGTGTCCGACCCCACTGGGACGGCCACTCTACCGTCCATGGTAGGTGAGATTCAAGGCCCAGAAGGCAGCATCCACCTGCCATCTGCTGATCTCGAGCTCCCTGGGGGAGAGTTGGATGTGCCCCTGCAGGAAGGAGAGGTGACGCTGGGGGGGCTGAAGGGCAAAGTAGAAGGGGCCAGGATCAAAGGCCACCTGCCCAAGATGCAGATGCCCAGCATCAAGGTGCCCAAGGTGGACATCAAGGGGCCAAAACTGGACCTTAAGTGCGCCAAAGGGGAGGTGACCCCTCCTGACACAGAGGTGTCGCCGTCCCGTGTGGAGGTGGCTATCCAGGAGCCACATGCCAAGGTGGTGGGTGCCATTGGCCTGGAGGACAAGGAGGTGGCCGCCCGAGAGAGCAAGTTCAAGATGCCCAAGGTCAGCATGCCGTTCTTCCGACCATCATCCAGTAAGACTTACTCGGTGTCGGCGCATGCCCGCGGAGGTGCCACCGTTGCAGAAGTGACCTCCTCTCCTGACGAAGTGCGTACAGCTGTTGACTGGGCTGATCATTCTGTTTCCATGGGCGACGCGGGTTGGGAGGACGCCACGCTTACGAAGTGCCAGGTGCCTCTCCCCAGAGCCAGCGTCTCTGCAGAGGCGCCTCGGGAAACCCTCTCTGAGTCCAAGGGGGGTGCGCCCCAGTTCAGCGCCCCATGTGCTGCCGACCTCCCGTCCTGGGAGCCCGTTCCTTCGTCCCAAACTGACAGCCACCCTGGCCCGGCGCACCCCCTGGTTCACTCGTCTTATGGCCGCGTGACTTTTCCTAAATTCCATCGACCCAAGTTCCGGTTTTCAGTCGCAGCGGCAGCTGAGGCCGAGGGAGAGCCCCGCGCCCTGGAGGGTGCCCCCTCCCCTCGCAGCCCCACACAGGTCCTGGACTCTGAGGAAGCCACAGTGTTCCTGGGGTCGGCCACTCCGCTGCCACCTGCAGGCGTCTCCATGTCCAGGGGCACGGAGGAGCCCGCGGGCAGTGCTGGGC